TTTGATTAATTAATCTAAGCAAGTACCACAATCTGTGTCCATTTCTTTTTTTTCTAGATTCCCCAAACTAAAACTAGGGTTTGCGCAGATGACATATTTTTTTATTTTTTATTTTTTTGTTTTATTAGTTTAAACTCTTTCTCCTCTACTTTATATCATTCACTAAAAAAAAAAAAGTCCCTTGTGGAATGAAATTTGGCCATTCTTTTAAACATCTGACATCTATTTACACGTATAGTTCCGTTATTGTCTGAATGGCAACGCTTTGTCATTGTTTTCGATCTCTTTTACTCATATGTCATGCTGTAATGCTATTGATTTCTTAGAATTTTAGTTTGAAATTATCCAATAGGCATTTCAATCTATCTTAAAAGATTTTGATGTTGACTACTTTTTCATTGAATATAAATATTACAATGGCAGACTTTCTAGATTATCTACCAATGGAGATCATTATTACAATCCTTATGCTATTGATTGATCCTGTTGACATGATCCGAATGTCAGCTGTTACTCGTACCTGGTACCATTTTGGTGAGTAATTTAAATGCACACATTCATTGTTATTGATGTTCCCGTCAAATAGACTCAACAAAGACACTTGATCATTATATGTTACATATGATCTTTTCATCAACCAAACACTTAATTTTGACATGTTGTTTATATGTAATTATCATGTAGGGTGAAGTGATGACAAATTTAACCTTTAAATTGTTTTTTTTTTTATTATTATTATGTTTTTATGAACATCTACTCACTGTTTCTACAACCGTTTGATAATTAAAATATTACATATGTTTGGTAATATGTTATTATTTGATGTATTCAAATCTAAATATTCAATTATCACGTTATTATTAATTCTTGACATGAATGTTACACGATTAAGAATATAATAAAAAAGTACTAAAAAAAAAAAAGAGCAAGCATGGTTGTCACGAAGACTCAAATAAACGATATAATACAATCAAAATTACTATTGTTTATCAAACCCCGATGCCTCTATGTAGTGCCTACCACACATGATTCGCCTAGTGCGACTTGCCTTGTCGGGCCAAGTTTGCAGGCTTTTATGTTCGGCCGGGGGTTTACCCAAAGCGCACCTGAAAGGTAGGGGCTGCATGTTCTCACGTTATTAAAATAATAATAATAATAATAATAATAATAATAATATTGTTTAGATATATCCAAAATTTACTGCTTATAGTCACTTTACTAGTTTCATAGACAATATGATAACATTTCTAATATTTAAAAGCTTCACAACAATTGATATGGTTACTTTGTTGAACAATCTACTATCGTATGCAATGCACATAGAGGTGTGTTTGTCGGGGGCATTGGATTTTGGTTTAGGATTTGAATATTTATAAATTTAATTTAAATAATTATATGACGCGATATGAATAGATATTGATAAAATATTTTGAATATAAATTTGATTTTTAGAAGAATATATGAAAGATGAATTTTCAGGAATAGTAAATTTTTATGAAGTTTGTCAAAAAGAACACACCCTAATTGCAATTCAACACCGTTATATACATACATACTAAATTTTTGTTTTCATTCTTTATTTTATCTTTCCTTTCAAGTCTATTGCTCAATTTTATTTTTAGTATTATTATATTCAAGCAGAATGAAATGTGTAAACACTAATATACACAGCTTATCATTATGTTAGCTAGAGAAATTACTCTTATCCATTTTTACACACGTATTTTGTTTTGCAGTTGTCCAAAATGGCATCGCAAAAACAGCTTGTCGAAGGAGAGCTCCAATGCTCAAGAATACAAGCTACTGCGACGCAATTATGAACCAGAGGAAGAAGCACCATCTTCCAAGATTCAATGATCTTCGGAAGGAACACAAACTGTACTCAAGCCTCCTTGCTATTCTGTCAAAAGCAAGTATGATTAATCCAAAGAATTGCATTGGGTTTGTCATCGGAGCTTCTTCTACAAGCCATTATATAGGAAAGAGCATCATTCATGCACTCCTCCCAAACAAAATGTATTGGTCGAGCAAAGGGCACACCGACGCTAATGTGTCTGAGACCATACTTTTCAAACTCAATGGCGGAGTTTGCATTGTATCAGACATTCAAATCCAGCCTTCTCCTGGTATTCTATACTTTCCAGTGTCTCGACACATTTATGTTCATCCTATTTTATGTTGGGAATCCTAACTGAGTTCTTCTATCCTATTTGCATTCCCTTTCAGGACATTATGGTAATAGACAATATATATTCTCTGCTATGTCACTCCAATTCAGCATGGGGCATAGTACGTTGCCAAAATATCAAACACACCAGGACATTAACTTGCCGGGGGATATAAAGGATGACCACTTCGTCTGGGGTTATACATCGCCTCAATTCCCCATGGAGCAGGTTATGCACTAGCAGTTGTCCTAATTCCAAATGAATTTTGGTTGAAAATAATAACTTACATTTGCTCTAATATGAATTGCATATGGCCAGAGTCTCCTCAAGCAAACATTTACACTGCCTGAACCAGTTCTATGTGTGGGAGGGTTTCTGAAGATCGAACTCTTGGGGATGGTGCAAAGAGACCCAAGGAATAGTTTATACTACTATTGGTACTTAAACAACCTTTGCCTTTGTAATACTGCATGTAAATGTGCACAGAGAACAATAGGGATCAATCTTATTCAACCCAAACAAATTGGGCATCACTTACCACTATATATTGTTTAATTGTTGCAGCCTGCATCGGGTGAGCATCCGCGGCCAGTCCCTCGAACCGGCCTTCGACATAGAGACAGTTGAAAGGGGCAGACTAATACTTAGGCACCAACCTTCAGCAGTTATTGATGTTTTGAGGCAGATTCCCCTTCCCTCCACGGCTGTCATCAGCCAAATGGCCGTAGCGCAATCGATGGAATTTATGTTTAATCATCTTCTTCCTTTTGTAAACTTTGATCGAAATATAGCCTTGGCTCCAGCCCGAAGATATGCCAATAGTCTCCTGGGCTATAGCCCGAATGAAGGCCGAAATGGTAGGGAAGACGCAGAGGCCTAGAGCCCCAAAGTGCCAGCCTTCAAAGCATACAACAGTCCTAAATATGGATTGCATCATTGCTTATACATTTCAATATATGATGTTGTATTTAATTTGAGTAAGACATACTAATTATGTATCATTTCATGGGTCTCACTTTATTGGTTTTTATATAAATTTTATTTAAAAAATAAAGTAATAAGAGATGTTCTGTAATAAAAGAAAATGTAATCATATGATGTATAGATTTGAATTTATGATTATTCAATTTAAGTACATATTAAATTTGGTTATAATTTTCTGACTTTCAACAAAATTTACAAATTTCACAATAAATATTAAGCAATTATAAGTTTGATCATAATTCTCCACATCAAATATTCAAAATATTATCTAATTATATATATCTCTTATTTGGTAAAAAATGATCCGCCTATGCACATACACACACAAACCAGTTATTGTTTAACTATAAAATTCATGGGCTTTACAAAAATAATAAAATTAGAAATAAATCCGAAAATAAAAAAACACTTGGAGAATATTCCGTGTTAATACGACCCAATGTCATTTTTTTGTCAAGATTTGGACAAAAATGTAAAAAAAATGTTGTTTTAGACTGTCCTAGCCCCTCTCCCTCCCGCTCTCTCCTCACACAAAAAAGCCTTTGAAGAATAGTCATTCAAATCAACATTTCGTCAAAGGAAGATATGTTGTAGGTGTAGAGAGGTTGTATGCATATATATGTGTGTCTATATACCTTTCAACCTGGATGAACTTTTACTAGTTCGTCACTTTTTTTTTTCGAATATGAAAGAATATTAATTTATTAATCTTTTGTGTAGCTTAATTTCTTGCAGCTATCTGGTAGCTTGTGTTCTAATTTGATTTGGCTAATCTAAGCAGGTAAAAAGATCTGTTCTTTTTTATTTAATCTCTAGATTTCCACCGATTAAAACTAGTATTTCAATAGATGTAATCCTTATTTATTTACTTTTTTAAAAAAACACTTATCTTCCTTTACTTGATATTATTATTTTTTCCAGTATGTGATAGTTTGGCAAATTAGTTTTTACACTTCTTCCAACATAGCTGAAGTTATTTCTAAAACAATTATCAAATTCGATTTTACCCTAAGGATACTTACACTATTGATTGATACCCTAGATATGATCTCAACATGTGCTCTTAGTCGCACTTGTCCATTATTGTGAATTATTTAAATTTACGATATTAATTTTATTAAAGTTCCTATCTAATAGAATCTTTTATATGCTACATACGAATTCTTTGTCTATATTAGCTGGTAATCAAGTTTGTTAGAGGCTGGATATTGAGGACAGGATTCTCGAAGAGATTGTCTAGCATGCAAAGACAAAAGGTATATTTGAAAAGATCATCCACCAACCAAAGAAAGCCAACTTGATCCAATCATTGGGCATCAAAGGTTGAGAATATTCCCGGAAGTATTAAGGTACATCTTGAATGAACTAGAAAAAACACATTGACTTGATTGATTCATTTTTATTTGTGATTTGTTTGGTTGATTTGTTAGAAGAAACAAAATGTGAGTGGTTGTATAGTTTCCTAAAGAAGTTTGGAGTTTTTTAATTTTTTATTCCAAGGAAAAAATAGAATATGGTGGATTATAGTTCATATATATTTCTGATGAATATTTATTATTTTTCGACGAGTTATTAGTTTGAGATTGCTATATTGCATCCATATACACAAGATTGTATAGGTGTATGATAATTTCAGAAATTTTGATTTCTTCCGACAATTCTTCATTCAAGACTGCTCTAGGTTTGCACTAATTAATGTGTGTGATTGGGTAGATTATACGTATGTTAGAATTGTAAGAATATTCTAGTAAGATTTTTAATAGTGATCATTTATAACTATGACTGAAAGTTTTTAAACAATTTTATATATGACCACAAGTAGTTATAGATTATAGGTATTTTGCCAATTTTCGTGGACAATAGAAAGTTTCACAACTAATTATATAATGTCCTGATCGACTTATATATATTGTTGAATACAATGCATATAGTTTCGAGTTGTAATCGTGTGCAACTAAATACATATATCTAGGGTCTGGATGCAATTTCATAATGGTTTTCGGTGCTCGAAGCTTCCTTGTTCCACCGTATGTCCTCCCTGTATGAAATATTGACCAGAAAAGGCACCTTTGAAGCAATCCTAATCGAAGTTATGAGCGCAGTGCATAGTGACCAGAAGCCCCATCATTTTAAGGAACACACAATGTACTAAGGCCTACTTGATATTCAGTCAAAAGAAATCACGAATCCAAAGGACTGCATTGAGTACGCCAATGAAGCTTCTTCTATAAACGATTATGAAGAAAGGAGGTGTTGGGAAAATGACAAAATAACATTTTCTTATTCTGAAATTGAATCTTTGAAGCAATGAGGTGGGTTTATTTATAATCTCCGAACACTCCCCATTTCCTTGCAAATGGTTTCAGTAAGGGCTGTCTGTGATCATCATTTTTTGGAGTAGACTTGCTGAAAATAGAATAAATCAATCTCAAGACTGCGTGCTATCTTTAGGCTTTGTGTGCACAAACAAGACAGGACTGGTGCTGTCTTGGCTACTCTCGTCCTCCATCTTCATGAAAAAATAATGCCTGTTCATCCAAGAAAATATTCAGCAACGGAGGAGGAAGGGAATAGCTTCAGAAAACATTAGTGTTCATTTATATTTAAGAATAAGAAACAGAGATACAGACAGACCGATGGGTGTCTGCATTCAGCTCAGAATGAGAAGCGGTTGCCAGCAAGATTGCCTGCTTTATCGCAGTGATCTTTACAGCCACAATACTTTCCTTGTAAACAATTTAGCAATATCAAACCAGCCATCAGTCGAAAAACAAAATTTACAAATTCATAAGAAACGTTTATGAACTACAAATCACCATATTTTGTTTCTTCCGTGGAAAAAGAATGAAAAAAATTGAAACTTTTTCGGAAACAGTACAATCCATCACAAAATTAATATGTAGTGAGAGCTAAAGAGAGTGAGAGAGGGAGCATATATATTGAAAAATAGAAGTATTGTACTTGTAATTACTACGTATTGAGTAGAGGAGTCCTAGGTTTGTTAATGTTGAAATATTGGGATATCATTACCAACCCAAATCAAATGATTGGAAAGCCAGACAAACCACAAGAAACCAATATAGCTCTTACACAAATTTTTTTTTGATGGCCCCAAATACGTTCAAAAATCAAGCATCAACCAATTAAAAGCACAACAAAAAACAAACTGCAAATAAACACAACACCGACATAGATTTTTCCAAAGACAGTTCATGAACAGATCAAACAACACACGCACACTCTGCGAGCTCAAAAATAAAACACACGAAATTGATAACCCAGTTCGGTCATAAAAGACCTACATCTGGGGGTTCCAACCCAGGCATGACTTCACTAAATCGAAAACAAGTTAAGCTTACACAGAGCTGTGTTCATCTCCCTCTAGAATTGCTACCTGCAAATCATTTCTATGCAACACCATTCTTCAGCAAGATTATCTATCCTACTAAATTGGGCATTCAGCAAGATTATCTATCTTCTCAACAAATCACAATGCAACACTAGGTTGTTACAACATATTGTCTTTTTTCTCCATGGACGGGACCAGCCATATCTTTAATATGGGCCTGGAAAAATAATAAAATAAATCGCATTTGGGCCTTCTTGGATTTTGGACCTGCACTCTGAAATCCAATTAGCCGCCGCACTTTCCTGGTACACGTATTTAGAAATATCAAACCAGCCATCAGTCAAAAAAACAAAATTTTAAAATCTGTTGGCTGCCTGCTTCTTTTTTTTTATTATTTTTATTTTTATTTTATAGTTTATGGGCCTTTATTATTTATTTTACCCCACTTAAGGCCCAAACTTAATTTTTACTCCTAATTTAACTTAATTTTTTAATTTCTTACACCTTAAGTCCAAAATAATATTGTCCGACTCCGGCGTCGGACCCCGGCGAGCTTCCGGTGATAAAATTAAACTAAAGCAGACCAATTAGAGATTAAAAAACAAATTTAATGATACATTATATACAAATAGAACTGAACTAAACAACATATTATCTAAGGCTAAAAACAATAGTAGAACACCTAAATGAAAATACAAAATTGGAAGAATAAAATTTCTTAAGCTAATTAATTCTAATAGATCTACTAAGTTAATATCTAAGTAACACCTATTTTACTACAAAACCAAATAGTTAGTAAGCTAAGAGACTAAAGTTAATTCTTAAATCTAACACAAACAAACAAACAAACATGAAGCAAACTAAATATTCTATCCGTATAGCAAGCAAACTCCCTTGATTTTGTGGGTCCTGCAGCCCAACTTTTTAAACCACTTTAGCCATTAAACAAATTGAAAAAAATATTATGCAAGCAAAACTCATAATAAAGAATAATTATTATATTAAATGAAAGCTAAACATATACAGCTTTTCTCTTATAGATCTATCAAAAATTATTCATAATGCATTTACTTTTATCAGAGAGAAAAAAAAAATACTATTAGAGAATATAAGACAAATTCAAGGAAAATACCTCCTAAGACTGCGGTTGCGAGATATTCTTCATGGTGCCTACAATAAATTCAATGAACCAATTGCAGTTGCGCCTTCGGCTCCACCTATATCCAATATTTCTTTTGGTGTAAAATTAAATTGGACGCTGCAATCTCTAATTAAGGTTTCACTGTCAAATAATGATTCCCCAAACTTGAATACAAATGAATGGGGCCATTTTGCATGAGCAGTCTTACAGTCACGCATACCCCGTTTGTTTACATCATCTACAATTGGTCTAGGTAGCAATATTATTATAACTTGTTTCAGCACTTGTCATTTTTGTCCTGTTTGCTCACACATTTTGACAAACTTTCAACTTCTTAGTTCACTAAATGAAATCAATTGAACAGATATAAAAATCTTACTACATGCAACTAAGATAATGCTAAAGCAGCCCTGTAAGTTTTTTTAAAGTGAAAATTATCATGTTTTGAGACAGATTTTTAAGAAGGGATAAATTGGTTAATGAACCAAACTAAAACAAGCATCAATTCATGTGTAAGCTCAACAATTTCAACAGAAAAATAATTAGCATACTAGTTGGCTTAGAAATTACACACAAAAGACAAGTTTCAAGCTCAATACTTTCAATGCGATGTTGATCAATATGTGCGAAAACTAACACTTGTAAGCTATAAATAACCTTTTTAGCGTAAGATGTTAAACAAATTGAGTATTCACAAGCATAGAACTACAGATACACCAATTCAAATAGATTCCATAGCAAACAGTGCAGTTTCAAGTAACCAAAGCAGTTTTAGAGCTCTAGTTTATGGAACTTTCGGAGGAGTATTGATCATAACATCAAAAAACGCAGGCAGTAGCAGCAAATTGATTTATATTAAGATCTAAAAAAGTAAGACATATGATCAACTTCAAGGATCTCCAAGTTCAGCTGCCGAGGAGAATCGTAGCATTAAACCATGGGATATGTTTCATTATTTGTAACTTTAAGTTTCTTTTTTATTCCGAATATAGTTGAAATCAATTTGGATTCAATACAAGATTCAATTATCTATTCCAAAAAAATAAAAAAAAAACAAATTCCGAATTGGCTAGATAATTATTTCAAGAACATCAAGAAATTCTTAAGTTCTACTAAGAATACATTCTTATTTTCAAAGAGTTCTATTAAGCTACTAAATTTAGGCAAGATCGATTTAGACTAGAAATTAAATAATTAACTAGAAATAGTGGACGTTAATCACAACAACAATAAAATCGATTTACTCAGCTCCATAAAGAACTCGAACAGAATAGAACTCAGCCAAGACGCACAGGAGCGGAACAATTAGATCAATAAACATGTTGATTTTCACTAAGCAACACCGGACGAACAAAACTTTTCCGAAGCAGTACCCGGACAACTAATGTTTAGAAAATAACAACTATAGGAGCAGATTTTCACTTACCAAAAAATATTATCAAAAAACTTACCAGAATCCAGACTGTGTTTGAGCACCCGCCGTCGTCGGTCCCTCGAGAAGAGAGAATCACATATGTGCTGGTTTTAATTGGGGGATGAATCTTTGTCACTCAGAAAGAGAGAATCGCAGACCCACTGTTGGAATGGAGGGATTGAAAATGGGTTAGGGCAAGTTTAATTAGAAATTTTTCCTAAGAACATAAATTTTTCTTAGATCACAAACCCGCTGTTGAAATAGCTTATCTTCGAAAAAATGGTTTGCCAAAAAAAAAAATAAAGAATCATCCAATTTTAATTCCTTCTCGAATTCCTTTCGTATTTTCGAATGAAATAATTTTCTTCCCAAAAATCCGTACTAATTTTGTAGTGAAGAAGAACAAATAAAAAGAAAAATAGTAGAGAATTGGGGGAGGGGCCGCGTTCAAGGTTTTGTTTTATTGAAACTTTATTTTTACTTTTAATTTTTAATTATATATAACAATTTTAATTTAAATGAATAATTATTTTAATTTCAATATGTATATATTAATATACAAGTATTATATATGTATATATGATATACTATTTTAGATTATTTTAGATTTAGTTTAAAATTAAAATTAAAATTATTGTAATTGTAATGAAAAATACCGCAACAAAAGAAAAATGTTGACCAAACCGAAAAATTCATTTGTTACGAAAATATTCGAAAAACAAAATAGTTTTTGTACCAAAAAAATTGTAGTGGATCAGATTTCTCTACAAATAGCCTTTTTTTTTTTCGGGTAGTGTACTCTTGTTTATTTAATCCATAGTAACCAACTATTTATAGAAATATTACTAAACCTTCAAAGCTAGCAAGGAATAACAAAATAAAAAAATTTCAATATCAAATAATAATGTAAATTGAACACATATTCTTGGTATTAAGATTTATCCCAATAATAAATAATAATTGCTTACATTATTAATACATTAAATTTAGAGGGATACTAAATATAAATGTTTAAAAATAATAATGCTACGCCAATTAATATTTTATTGTAACAATAAAATAGAGAGATTAAAGAAAAAAGATTTTACCATTAAGCTCATTTTTCTACTATTCATACAAATCTTTCTTAAAACAAAAATAAAAAATTAGCAAATCAAATATTTTTTTTTTCTATTATATTAAAAGTCAATTTTATCGGACTTAGAGTATTCGTTACCATTGCAGCTCCACAATGATTGATTAAGCTATGGAACCCCCAAGGCTGCAAACGTGCGGTGACAGGTGACCTGGAAGTGTCGGGGGTTTGGGTAGTATACTCTGGTTTATATAATTCATAGTAACCAACCATTTATAGAAATGTTACTAAACCTTCAAAACTAGCATGGAATAACAAAATTAAAAAATTTCAATATCAAATAATAATGTAAATTGAACACATATTCTTGGTATTAAAATGGATTTATCCTAATAATAAATAATAATTGCTTACATTACTAATACATTAGATTTAAAGGGATACTAGCGTGTTTGTTTGGAGGATTGGATTTTCAATATACTATTTATTCCATTTTTTTCCCCCAAAAACATCAAATCAAACAACTATTTTTTATTTTTTATATTATACTAAATATCAATTTTACATTCAAAACATCACATCAATACCTATTTATATCACATCATACAACTATTCAAATTCAAAATTTTTGCTATTCAAATCGCAACTCAAAATTCAAACCTCCAAACAAACACGCCTGTAACAAAATTTTTTATAAATGTTTAAAAATAATACTGCTATGCCAATTAATGATATAAATGTTTAAAAATAATAATGCTACGCCAATTAATATTTTATTGTAACAATAAAATAGAGAGATTAAAGAAAAAAGATTTTACCATTAAACTCATTTTATTGTAATAATAATGCTACGCCAATCTTGACCTGACACAGGTACAAGTCCACCTCCAAACCACCAGACCATTCTTATCGGACATATATATATTGATATATAAATCATCTAAATAAATAAAGAATGCTATAAATCTTTTAAATAAAAAAAAATATGTTTAATATACTATATATATATATTTAAAATAAAATTCATAAAATTTCTGTTTAAACTCAAGAAATCGGACCAACTTAGTTTTCCAAGAGAGACATAAAATATGGACAAGATCATCAATTGAATCAAAGTCGGAAGTAGGCTTTCTAACATTGTTAGAGTTGCAATGAGGACTCTTAATAACTTTAGAGTTAGAAATAGGGCTCTAAATGGCATTAGAGTAAGAAATAGGGCTCTCAACTTCGATACAGTAGGAAGCTCAGGCTTTCAACGTTGTTAGAGTTGAAAGCAGAACTTTCAATGAAATTAGAGTCAGAAGCGAGTTCACAACCGAATTAGAGTTGGAAACAAGATTCTCAATGTCGTTAAAATTGGAAATAGGTTTCTCAACATCGTTAGAGTCAGAAACATAACTCTGTCATTAAGGATCGAAGTGGCGGCAACAACATAGCGAAGATAGATGCCTAAAAATCATATCAACAAACACGGAAGATAACTAATCATTGATGTATCCGGAGAAAACTTGCCTTTGATACTATGTTGGAATATGAAAATGAAATTGTCTATATCAATCATAAGAATTTTTTTATATTTATATTGATACACAAATTGTCTACAAGTCTTTTAAATAAGAAAATGTTGCGGTTAGGTGGTGACAAGATCAAATCAGCACCGACCAAGTAAGCAAATCTACATGAAGCAATTAAGAATTCGCCACAAAGCAGATAACATAGAATATTAATTTGAAGTAATTAGTATTTCATCACCAGGCATAGATATTTATTATAGGGTAAAATTACTTTTGTGCAAAATCATGGTATATTTTGCTACATGTAATTATATATTGTACTATTAAAGTATATATGTTAATAATATATTGATATTTGCTACTTTCTTTACAAATTTCTTAAGATCCGATCAAATCATTTTTTTGTCTTAACATATTTAAGAATTTTATTCATCCAAAATTTTAGTTAGGTTTATTGTTGACTTAATTATTTCAACAAAAATACAATTTAACCAATAAAATATTTAATCTATTCAATTCAGTTCGTACTTTAAAAAAATAATAAAAATTGATATAAACTTAAATTTTAGTTTTTTAATACTATCACAAAATTTGTTATGGCTATTTTTAATTAGCCTCGGAGTTTGTCTCGGATTGGTACCCAAGGCTAAAAACTCGATGCTATTTTGAAAAGTCTCAAAAATTCCGAGGCTATTTTAAAAGACTGAAGATTGTTGAGAGATCCTCAGTGTTATGGGAGATGCTCCAATAGTGCGAACCCTGAGCTTTTAAATTTCGAGCAAAAATCTTGGTTGCCTGGAGAGCGTCTTTCCACGGGGGACACTCTAGAGTACACATTTTTGTACTTAAAATGTGTCTTGCACTTAATGCATGATGTCCAAAATGTGTTGCCATCTTCTTGGTTGCACTCCTTTTTTGGCTCTACTATCAAACACCGAACTCATGGTTAAACAAGCACATATGAGAAAAAGGAAAAAGACAAAAAATTAAAGTTGATATATACTGCATAACTTATATATGATAACCCAAATGCCACAATTAGGATCAGTAAAAGCTTCATAGAAGTGAATGCATATATGCTAGGTATATTCGATATTCAATTAAAAAAAGGTCAAGTATCTTGAGAGATAATAAAACTATTGCAATTTAAAACTTAAATGTTCAAACTATTTTAAAGGATATCTAATTTCAGAGTTAACTTGATATTAATTGTGCGGGACAAAACTAGAATTGTCGTAATTGATAATATTAAGTTACTAAAGGGGATTAGCCAAAATATTGTAAATCTTAATTGCAATGAGAGAATAAATCATGCATAATAATAATAATAATAATAATAATAATAATAATAATAAATGAACAATAATATGCACCTCTACATACTTGTCATTAAGTAACTAGAAATAAAAGGTGCAAATGAGCAAACTTATAATCAAAATAATTTTTAGAACAAGCAAGACCAAAAACCTATCTCTTCAAACTTGTTATTTTTTTAGCAACCGAATGAAATAAAAAATAAGTATTACAACATAAATACACTTTATTAATTAATGTAAATGCGACAAACTTAATCAATTCGAAAAAGGGATTCATTAAAGTGAATACAACATTCTTATAAAAGGATAATGTAATTATTGTAGGTAATGCACTATATTAAAAAGAGATCATTAATGAAAATCAGTGGACATACTTTACTAAAATTAAGTATATAAAAATGTATGCAATTTCCATTTAACCATTATTACATTGACTTATTGATAGATAGTTGGTATGCATACAATGGCTCCCGTAGAGAAGGGGAAAGAAGTGGCTCATTTGAATGGGGATTTGCGGGATTCGGTCTGCGGAGGAAATGCTGATGTTGGCATTCGGGTACATAGTGACAATTCCGCTGGCATTGGAGGTCGGATTCGATCTCTGAGTAGGACCAACAAATGCTAGTCGTATGAGTTAAGTGATTTGTCTGGCGATGAAATGGGGAACTACATGGATGATGAGGAAGATCAAGACTTTACTCTGACGAGGAGGCAAAACCTGAAGAATCAGAAAAGAAGTGAAACTTAAAAGGATAGGGCGCCAGTGAAGGCTTCAGGGCAGTGTTGTAATAGAATGCCGAAAAGAAAGATGGCAGTGAACGATCCTCAGAGGAAGAGAGAGCAGAGGAGGGTGGGTGGCGATAATGATGACCGAACAGTCAAGGCCGAAGCGAACTTAGTCTCAGCCTCAAATGTCCAAAGCCCGAAAGCTAGACGGATTTGCAATAGTGGCGGTGATGGAGAAGATATGCCGTATTGGCTTACGGAAATGACAAAGTTTATGACAGGGGCTAAAGCTCTTAAACCACTTTTAATGAAATTTAAGGATCAGAAATGAGATTTTATTAATGAAAAAACAACGAAAAATAGAAAAAACTTTGAAGTAGTTTTGGTTTCAGGCTCAGCCCCCAAAACCACTTTTCGACATAAATCAACACAAATCACACCTAAAATGTGACGAACACAAAGGAATCGGCCCTAAACCCGCTACACACAAAGAAAAATACCCCCACAGAAAGATACAAGGCGAAACAGAAACAAACCAAACGCCTACAGCGTTGAACGAGTCCTTTGCAGCAAAGAACAACAATAAACAGGGGGAAAGAGTCATGCTAAAGGAGCTCCACAAGATTACAGGAGGAAGGCACCGCCGTGAACTTCCGTAAACTGTCGCAAACCGCCACCGGAGAGAGTGTGTGAAAAGAATGAGAGAGGCTAGTGAGAGGGAGGAGAGAATTGTAGAGAGAG